CAGAGCTCAGTATGTGAGTGGTGTGCATGTTTAACTGATTATAATAAGTACAATAGGCCCACTTTCTCCAATAGAGTGAAGAATATGACATTTATTTTCATTATTAACAGAAAACGTTACGCTGTTGAAGTGAATAGGGGTAATAACGGGAGGTACAAAACATCGGTGGAGAAATAGACTGCGTTAATATAACATTCCTGACATCATTACCTATTCTGCTAATATTCACTAGAAACGCGGAAATAGAGATTTTGGGTCTATCAGAGGTGGAATCCAACGAAGCATTATGCAACTTTTACCACAGTGCCATGTTGCATGCCAACCTTCCAGCTCTCCCCTATATCTAGTTACAATTATATCACTATATCAGGACAAAGAACATTACAAACACGTGAATTTATATGCGGTGAAAAAGTTTCCGCCAAAATTGAAAATTTATTTTCACTACCTAAATTAACTTAACATCGCTGTGAAAATGTTTCGAAAGCACAATCCACACCTAACCTAACCTATATTTCTCTCATGACGCAAGCCAGATCAGAGTTAACCCGAACTTAATTTAACCTCTACAATGACGAAAATTGTTTCAAAGTATACTAATCGTAACCTAACCTCTATCTTTCGCATGACGCAGTCCACTCCGAACTTCTATTTCACTGTATTAGTGACAAATAAGTCCGACTGTTCATAAATCGACGATTGCTGACTACGTAGTAATACATCTTGCTCCATGGTCCTGTGGTGAATTCATGGCAATCAGCCGAAAGGGCAATTTCACTTCCGGTCAGAGGCCGTCGGACGACAAATCGAACGTCATCACGGCTGCAATTATCCGGAATCCCTGTGAATAGACGCATTCGGAGAAGCTGTGGTCTTACTCGATAATGACGCCACGAAAATCTCAACTAGCGGTTAACGGTAGTCCATCTAGCGGAATGAAGTCTTCGTTGCGATTACTCTCTATAGCAAACACTGAGAACTCTATGTCAAAGTTGGTGAATTTTATGAGAAATTTCTCATTCTCCGGATTCTCCTCGGGTACTTTACCTACGATCATCTAACTTTGGGAACGGTTATTCCGTTTTTCTTCGCTTCTTACTCGAGCTGTAGATCTTGGATCTTCGGCCGTTCGTTGGAACTTTTCTTTGGAAGTTTTAGGGACTTTTCTCGATTTTCAGGAATATCTTTCACATCTCTCTTCTAATCTTTTGTTAAAACCGTGTCTTCGTTCCGTTTAGAATCGAAATTCTCGAGCAACGAAAGTAATTGCGAATCGCCTTAATATTTCGCTGCGTTGCGTTAACAGTCACTGTCTCGCAATCATTTTCACGATCAAAGTCAATTGTTTTCATTGTAATTCCCGCAGCTGTGTTTCGATATATGCGATTCGTTATTTTTTTGTATTTTTATTCCCTCGTGGTCAACTTACCCGTATAACCATGGAATAAAAATAAAAACATCCTAACTCACATTTCACGAGTCGATGCGCTCGTTTAATTGCTGTCGTCCAATTAAACATGCCACGACTTTCAAAATACGAGTTTTACCAGCGCAAAAATTGATAACGAACACACGATATCCGTTAAATATTCGCCATCTTCGTTCGAGAAATATGAGATACAAGATTTCCTAATTTAAATATCGTACATAACCTAACTTCTTCGTTTATGGATTCAGCGAATTCTCGAATTCTTTTTTTTTTTCGAAAGAACTTCCTATGAACTTTGCAGTAGAAATTAGCAAGTTTATTTTCAACTTGTCTCCGATGATTAGAACGATCCACATAGTGAAATAGAATGGAGAACAGTCCAAGAGCAGTAGGTGTGAATCGGTTAGACGTGTAGCAAGTCACAAAGGACACGATTGAAAGTGAATAAATGGAAAGCTTGTTCACCTCGCTAATCAACAAATAACAATTGAGGGTGCTAGATGTAGAATGGGAAGTTTTCCTAGTGATCCCGAAACAGTAACAGTGTAGAAATCCCTAGGATACCTGCTTTTTCACTTAATAACGAATAATAAGCAAACCAATTATTTGTTATTAGAACAAATTAACAATTTCAAACAGTTAATAGTCACTTTACCATATTGACCATTTCTAATTTAATTCCCTAATTTATTTCCTTTTTCTGGTGATATATCTTATGGGCACAACGGATATGTGTTTAATTATTTCTACTGTCATAATAGATCATAATGATCGAAGACAGAGAATGAATGAAAATAAATAACTCGTGTTCGTTTATCTGCGTTCACATAACCAATGTCAATTAAAATTGAGTGACAATAAGTGCAGGTACCCTCATGGTCGTGAAGGAGTCGTCGTCTGATTAAAGGTCGTTTTATTCCACTGATCGAGACATCAAAAACGTTTTTTAATATCACATTTTGTACGAATCGTCTATTAATATTTAATTATTTTAGAAAATGTTCTTAGCAAATCTTTATGGAAACTTCAAAAGTGAAAATTGGATCTCCATTGGATTTCAGAAAATTGTTGCTAGCTTCAGAGACATGTCTTAAGGGCTCATCAAGAAACATTTGATTATGGTACCTTCTGCTCAAAGGTGACACAGTATCTTCCTCATTCCAATTTTTATCACCTAGTTCCCTTACTCCATTATTGCCACTCTCCGTTCCTCATTCTTTTGTCATTTCTTCCGTTAATTCCTGCTTCGTCAGTTTCTTCATTCTCTTCGACTTTACTTTCTTAATAATTCTTGTCCTTGCTATCACTCCTTTGTCTCCCTTTATTGTATTTTCCTCTGCACTCCTTTCTCTCATATTTATTAATCCCTTCCTCCATCACCCTGTCAATCCGGAATCTTTCTGAACCGAGATCAAAAGATTTCGAACTCGGATAATTACGTATTTCGAAAAAGTGGATCGATCATCCGCGTTATCGAGTCAGTATCAAATTCGACACCTAAATGCACTCCTATCGTCAAGATCATTCGTATGATGTTTGATCGTTAGAGCAAATGATCAAGAACAGTTAAACACAGGATCACTATCCACCAGACTGATTTACGAGTCAGAATTACGTTACCAATGCAGCGTAGTTTATTGTAATGTGATTCTTGCCTCTGCTAACTATTAATATAGCCTGTACGATTCGAAATTAATATTTAAACTAGAAACCGAAACCTTTGTCGACCACTTCCGGCCAGTATGATTAGCATAACGTCGAATTTCAAAGTCAAATGGCAAAACTAGGACTTTATCTGTCGGGGAGGTCTGTTAAGGAAAACCTGTTCGAGGTCATCTTCGGCGTACGATGAACGAACGAACCAAGTCAGATGTTTTACACTTGTATAAATGGTCGTTGTACTTTAATTCCTCGGAACGTAGGAATTCTACAATTCTACATTTTCGATAACAAAGTAGCATTGATAGGAAAATTGACACTTTGTGACACAAATTAAACCAAATTCTACTGAATTGCGACGAATGAATTGATAAATTGATCACATATTGAATAATGGTCATGTAATCAAAGAGTCACATATTGGAAAATGATAGGACAATTACAAACTCGTGTATTGAACCTCAGAAGTATAGAGGAAACGTGGAAGGAAGAGGAAACGTGGAAGGAAGAGGAAACGTGCACGTGGATCGGGATCCTAATTACAAACTCGTGTATTGAACCTCAGAAGTATAGAGGAAACGTGGAAGGAAGAGGAAACGTGCACGTGGATCGGGATCTAAAAGCTAAAGATCAAGATCAACGCAGCTCTGGTGTAGTAAAAACATCTAGATCCTTTGGCTAGTTTTATGGTTCACTATAGTCTCGGATGTAATGAGCATCGAACAATTAGGGAAGTGAAAAGGATGTTACTAAATGGCTCCTGTCAATCAGCATCCAATAATAGATGGGAGGCACACGCGTGGTATATACCACTACTTACTCGAGCGATTATGGTCGCAGACGCGTGTAACAGACTGCCAATTGCAGTGAAAACCAGGGATTTCCCTTGTGACGATGTCTAATTTTGACATGATTGACTGAAACCATCGTACAATCGTGACAGGGTTAGACTATCAGCTGAGATGCACGAGAACGACGAATCGTACCCTTTGGAAAATATTTTATTTCAATTTTTTGTTACACTTTTTGGTCAAACTATAACGGGACAGAAGTAACAGAGGAGAGGCTGGATGAATAACGTGAAAGAAAATGATTGTGTGTTTTACTCTGAACCTTCTGGAGGTCTCAGAAAAATTTTTTAGCAAACCTGTGTCATAGAAAGTTGTATAATAATGGCTAAGTCAGAAGATGCGTCTTTGTGAAAAGATATTATTGTTACGGATCCTTCTGAGCCTTCCTGACTGGAGAAAGGCAACCATAGTATATGACTAAAGATGGCGGTTTTTAGACATTCAGAAGACTTCGTGTCTAATGCAGCAAGAGTAATATAACATATTTTTCAATTAAGCAAGTATCGTACAAAATTAAAAACAGTGGATATAGTTAAAAATTCTCAATCCTTTATCTATCTATACGTTAATACAATTGTTCTGGAAGACGATAAAATTCTAAAAATTTTCATCGAAAAGAAACTTCTATCTAAATAAATATTTATTAACATAAATTTATTATTATTATTATTATTATAAAATCTTCCCTATTATTATATTATATTATATTATATTATCTTTATATTATATTTCCTATATTTATTATTATTATAAACACTCTCCTCCATTATTCTCCTCCATCTCGGCTCCCCAAGAAAATCAAGATACGAATGAGATAATTGCTAGGTATCAGGAAGATTTTCGAAGAATATGTTTGCATTCTCTTGAATTAAAATCGATCTGACTAGAATTAATTCTTTATTACGAATTCTTAGTCCTAAATTGGAAGGAGATGCTAATGAAGATTCAATGTGGTTAACAGGTTGACAATGCTCAGAAGTGTCTATCAGTATCAGTTCACATGAACAGCGACGATTAACGAGTAGTCACGCTAATCGACGATAAAACTCGAGCATTCTTACCTTCGCTCGACGCTCGATCTTGACACGATTCTCATTCCCAGCCCTCTTGAGCCCCTTTCACGACGATTTCTCTCCTCTGGTGGCTTTATCAGGCTCACTGATCAATCTTCCACAAGGATCCATTCGATCTTCCGCGCTCTTTTCCAGCCTCATCACTGTCCCCTTGTCGTAGGCCTTAACGAATTCTCATAATCAGTTCCTTTCGGTTTCAAAATTCAGATTCCAATCCCACTATCTCTTGCGCGAAATTTCACGCAGTTTCTGCCGCGCGTACTCGATGACTCGAGGAACCGATTACTCCAGACGATCGAAGGACAAAGATTGTCTATTCGAAATTACCAAAATTCTTTGGTAGAGGTCCTAGAAGAGTTTCTGACGAACATGGTATCGGAAGTCACGTTGCAATCGATATTAAGGCTAATTTTGTTAAATGATAGGTGGACTCCGTTAAATTACACGATCGCATGATTTGGAAAAAAAAAAGGGTCACGGTCTAGACGAGGAATGTGAATCATTTACTAGCACACAGTTGGAACAAAGTGTCCAATTGCACGTAGCAGCCTAGGGCAATTAGGCACTAAACCAGCCACATCGAGACTCTTCGTCCATTCGTCTGTTCAATGTTCAGGCCTGTGATACCAGCTGGCCTTCGACTTGGCCTGATCCCCTATCGTGGCTTTCATTTCTACGTTGAAAAACCGACTCCGCGAATAGGAGCCGGAAAGTTATTAAACTAAACCTGATATTTTGAAAGAAATCTAATCAGACAGTACTTATTTCTGACAGGGACAAATTTGAGATCGTTCAGTTTCTCCTTGGTGAATCGATTAGATCGTTTAGGATATCTGGGGATTCCTCTTTCCTTAAAGAAACTTTCCGTCAAGATCCCTTAGAATTTACAGGAACGTTCTGAAATCGTTGCACCATGAAATGGTCAGAACTCACGAAAAGATTCGGTAAAGAAATAAGAAACTTAGAGTCACTTAGTGTCCGAGGAATTTCACAGAGCCTCTCTGTAATGCCCCATGATCCAAGCACGAAGTTACGGTGAATCGGAAAAGAGAGGTTTCTTTGGCAATGAATTCACTGATTCCTCGTGGTTATGTCAATGAATCGGAGACGGAATGCACTTCTAGAGGAAGAGGAACACGACGCGCCTCGGACAAGTGCCGCGCGCAGACTAAGCCTTCCAACGCGGCTTCAGCACAACTTCCAACACGCGTGCTGTGCGCAGGGCTCGATGTGCGTCCCACACCTACAGCCCTGAACCGGGGACACGCAACCCCCGACTGAAGATTAACCCGTTGGTTTAGTCGAGAAACAGCCGCCAGCTAACGGCGATTAAGTAAGTGGAAACGATTGTGTCCCGCGAAAAAGCGGGGTGAGATTGAATGGAGGTGTGGCCTGTCCTCGGATTCATCCGGCTGTTTATGTAATGCACATTTTTTGGATTTCACGGATTTGGCATATATTCAGCATATTTCTATACACATGCATGAATTTACAGAGGAGCGAGGGAGATAAAGATTTCGAGATTTTATATGATATTGTATAATATGAATTTATTTATAAATTTGCCTTTTGAAGAGTTTGGCTCACATTGGATTTTGTAACAAGATAATTCCTAACATCCTTATAAACATATAAATAAGGCTTGTACAAGGTATAAATTGTGATTTATTTTTGAAAATCGCATATATGGAAATTTGCTTTTGCAAACAAGTGATGTAGTTTTTCTAGAATAATGCCTAGTATTTATTGTATAGTAGCTAGATATAAATATAAAATACCTAAGTATAAATTTATTATATAGGAGCTAAATCTGAATATAAAATACCTAAATATGAATTTATTGTATAGAAGCTAAATATAAGTATAAAATATCTAAATATGGATTTGTTATATAGATCCGGAATGTAGGTATAAAATACCTAAATATGAATTTATTATATAGATTTTGAATATAAATGGATAACAAAATACTATTATTGGAATTTTAGTAAGCTGTTTACATGTAATAATAAGTTAAGTTCAAAAGCATACAACAGGGAAAATGTCATTACTATAGGAAAATTAATTTCCTATCAACGACGATAACAAAAGGTGAACGGTATCAAAAAAACTGTCCTGACCAGAAGGGGTAGACTAACTAAGTGCATATCCCATAAGATTGTTCAGTCTCCCATCTGACCATATCGCCGATTCTAAATATAATAGCCAGGTTAAAGAAGTCTGCTGCTTTAGCTGATCTTATTAACCCAGTTCTTATCGATTCCCCTCAGGGTTTCGTTCACAATATGTGCTCTGCTCCTTGTCGTGGCTCACTCTTT